TCTGGATACATTGTTTCAGTTTCAATGGTTGTCACATGTCCAGTCTGTGACATCACCGAGGTACATCCAATCTTCAGCAGGTACCACAGCGACACCTACGCCTGGACAGTGGGTATAGCACACAGCAATGTCCTGCTGCCATTTACTACTTCTGTGTCTGTCTGTCTGTCTGTCGGGGGTCTCCAAACTTTCTACACAAAGGGCCAGTTTACCGTCCTTTAGATTTTAGGGGGGCTGGACTGGGGCCATTGGGAGTAGAAAAGGTCCCAAAGCCAGTGGGAAAAAAATGCCCCATCTTTGATGTCAGTGGAAGGAATAGTGCCCCATTGTTTGTGTCATTGGGAGGAATTGTGCCCCATCATTGGTGTCATTGGGCCCCATAGTTGGTGTTATTGGGAAGAATTCTGCCCATCATAGGTGTCATTGGGCCCCATAGTTGGTGTCATTGGGAGAAATTGTGCCCCCCTCCATTGGTGTCATTGGGCCCCATTATTTGTGTCATTGGGAGGAATTGTGCCCCTTCATTGGTGTCATTGGGCCCCATAGTTGGTGTCATTGGGAAAAATTGTGCCCCTTCATTGGTGTCATTGGGCCCCATAGTCATTATTTTGTGTGATTGGGAGTTGGTGTCATTGGGAAAAATTGTGCCCCTTCATTGGTATCATTGGCCCCATTTTTTATGCCATGGGAGGAATAGTGTCCCATCATTGGTATCAGTGGCAGGAATTGTGCCCCATCATTGATGTCATTGGGAGAAATTGTGGGAAATAGTTGGTGTCATTGGGAAATTGTGCCCCTTCATTGGGCCCCATAGTCGGTGTTATTGGGAGGAATTGTAGCCCCTTAATTGGTGTCATTGGGGAGGAATTGTGCCCCTTCATTGGTGTCAGCCATTGTTCATCAGTGGATAAAATAGTGCCCCAGGCCCCATCTGGCCCCATTGGGCCGCAGTTGGTGTTATTGGGAGAAATTGTGCCCCTTAATTGGTGTCATTGGGCCCCCATAGTTGGTGTCATTGGGAGGAATTGTGCCCCTTCATTGGTGTCAGCCATTGTTGGTAAGTCCAGTGGGATAAAATAGTGCCCCAGGCAAGCAAAGGACCACATCTGGGCCCAGGGCCGCAGTTTGGAGTCTGCTGATGGGTATATTTACATTGACGCCTTAAACAAGCTTGGCAAATGAACAATTGTTGGTACATACTGCCCCCAGATCACCTCAACATTAGTACCCCCCCATTACTAATCCCCCCTCCAGCCCTACTAATCCTGAATCCCCCACTCACTCAGTAGTACCCCCCAGCTCTGCTGAACCCCCACTCAGTAGTATCCACAGCTCTGCTAATTCCCCACTCAGTAGTACACACAGCTCTGCTGATCCCCCACTCAGTAGTACCCCCAGCTCTGCTAATCCCCCACTCAGTAGTACCCCCAGCTCCCCTAATCCCCCACTCAGTAGTAAACCCTAGTTCTGCTGAACCCCCCTCTCAGTAGTACCCCCAGCTTTGCTGATTCCCCACTCAGTAGTACCTCCAGCTCTGCTGATTCCCCACTCAGTAGTACCCCCAGCTTTGCTGATCCTCCACTCAGTAGTACCCCCAGCTTTGCTGATCCTCCACTCAGTAGTAACCCCCAGCTCTGCTGATCCCCCAGTCAGTAGTAACCCGAGTTCTGCTGATCCCCAACTCAGTAGTACCCTCTAGCTCTGCTGATCCCCCACTCAGTAGTATCCCCAGCTCCACTAATCTCCCACTCAGTACTACCCCCAGCTCCCCTAATCCCCCACTCAGTAGTACCTCCAGCTCTGCTGATCCCCCCCACTCAGTAGTAAACCCCAGTTCTGCTGATCCCCCACTCAGTAGTACCCCCAGCTTTTCTGATCCTCCACTCAGTAGTATCCCCAGCTTTGCTGTTTCCCCACTCAGTAGTACCCTCCAGCTCTGTTGACCTCCCCACGCAGTAGTAACTCAAGCTCTGCTGATCCCCCACTCAGTAGTACTCTCAGCTTCACTAATTCCCCACTCAGTAGTAAACCCCAGCTCTGCTGATCCCCTACTCAGTAATACCCCCAGTTTTGCTGATCCCCCCACTCAGTAATACCTCAAGCTCTGCTGATTCCCCACTCAGTAGTACCCACAGCTCTGCTGATCCTCCACTCAGTAGTACCTCCAGCTCTGATGATCACCCACTCAGTAGTACCCCCCCCAGCTCTGCTGATTCCCCACTCAGTAGCACCCCAAGCTCTGATGATCACCCACTCAGTAGTACCCCCAGTTGTGCTGATTTCCCACTCAGTAGTACCCCCAGCTCTACTAATCCCCCGCTCAGTAGTACCCCCAGCTCTGCTAATTCCCCAATCAGTAGAACCCCCAGCTCTGCTGATTCCCCACTCAGTAGTATCCCCCAGCTTTGCTGATCCCCCACTCAGTAGTTCCCTCAGCTCTGCTGATTCCCCCACTCAGTAGTAACACCTAGCTCTACTGTTCCTCTGGTTTGCTGATCCTTCTCTCTCTCTGGTCCCCACTCACCTCCCGGTTTATTGCTTCCATGTTGCTCACCACGTATGACATTGCTAGTTTGTCCTGCTCTGGTCCCCCAGCTCTGCTGATTCTCTGTCGCTCAGTCCTCTCATTCTCTGGTCCCTGCTCACCTTCACATTGTGCACCACATGTGCTGTCTGCTAGTTGCCCTGCTCAAGTCTGGACCCCGCTCTCCTTCCTGCTGCTCCACAATGCACACCAGATGTGACGTCTGCACCACACTCCCAGAATATATACACATGAACCAGAAGTGACTGCTGATGACGTCTTTCCGGTTAGCTTGTTAGTTTCCCGGCATCCTGAGATATCTTATACCTGCAATACCTCCAAAACAAAGCAAAGGCAACTCTGAATAAAAGCCCCTCAAATGCCGCAAGTGGTGTTAGCGAGCGTTATCATAGACTTCTAAGGAGACTTTGGAGAGGCTTTGAAGCACCAAGAATGCAACATGGGGTATAATTTTTGAAGTGAAGCAAACACAACGTGTGAACAGGACTGTACGCTAACCATTGTATTTAGTGTCAGGGCCTTTGATTGGCATTCAGAGTGCTTTAAAAAAGGGTGTCCAATGCCACATGTTGAAGCAAGTATAAACGAGCCAGTACAGGAGTCAATGGGATCCAACCTGTGACCCCCCATCCCAAGACTAGAGCCTGGTTGTGACCCCTGCTACAAAGTCTATGGTACCAGGATTGGGTACATTTGGCAGTAGCTATATACTGGATAGATTGATAGATGGATGGATGGATGCAGTAGATAGATAGATAGACCCATCCAATATCTGGGTTTCCCGGAGCCAGTTCAGTTACAGTTGCAAGAAAAAGTATGTGAACCCCTTGGGATTACGTGGAGTTTTGCATGAATTGGGCATAAAATGTGCTCTGAACATCATCTAAGTCACAACAATAGAAGAACACAGTCTGCTGAACATAATACTACACAAACATTAGATGTTGCCATGGTTTAATTGCACATAACATGTAAACAGTCACAATGCAGGGAGGAAAAAGTATGTGAACCTTTGGACTTAATAACTGGCTGACCCTCCTTTGGCAGCAATAACCTCAACCAAACGTTTCCTGTAGTTGCAGATCAGACCTGCACAACGATCTGGAGTCATTTTGGACCACTCCTCTTCACAAAACTGTTTCAGTGTAGCAATATTCTTGGGATGTCTGGTGTGAATCGCTCTCTTAAGGTCATGCCACAGCATTTCAATGGGGTTGAGGTCAGGACTCTGACTGGGCCACTCCAGAAGGCGTATTCTGTGCTGTTGCAGCCATTGTTTTGTTGAATGACTTGTATGCTTTGGGTCATTGTCCTGTTGCATCATCCATCCTCTGCGGAGCTTCAGTTGGCGGACAGACGGTCGTACGTTTTCCTGCAAAATGTCTTGATAAACTCTGGAATTCATTTTTCCATCAATGACAACAATCCGTCCAGGCCCTGAGGCAGCAAAGCAGCCCCAAACCATTATGCTCCCTCCGCCATGTTTCACAGTGGGGATGAGGTTTTGATGTTGGTTTGCTGGGCCTTTTTTTCTCCACACATAGTGTTGTGTGTTCTTCCCAAACAACTCAATCTTGGTTTCATCTGTCCACAGTATATTCTGCTAGTAGTGCTGTGGAACATCCAGGTGCTCTTCTGCAAACTTCAAACATGCTGCAATCTTCTTTTTGGACAGCAATGGCTTCCTCCGTGGTGTCCTCCCATGTACTCCATTCTGGTTTAATGTTTTCCTTATTGTAGATGTGTCAACAAAAATGTTAGCATGTGCCAGAGATTTCTGTAGGTCTTTAGCTGACACTCTGGGATTCTTCTTTACCTCAGGCAGCATTCTGCGCTGTGCTCTTGCAGTCATTTTTACAGGATGACCACGCCTAGGGAGAGTAGCAACAGTGCTAAACTTTCTCCATTTGTAGACAGTCTGTCTTACCGTGGACACATGAACATCAAGGCTTTTGGAGATACCTTTGTAACCCTTTCCAGCTTCATGCAAGTCAACAATTCTTGATCGTAGGTCTTCTGAGAGCTCTTTTCTGTGAGGCATGGTTCACATCAGACAGTGCTTCTTGAAACCAGCAAACCCAAAACAGGTGAGTGTTTTTTAAGGGCAGGACAGCTGTCAGCAACACATCCAATATCATCCCACTGATTGGAGTCAAGGTTGGCTCACTCCTGGCTCCAATTAGCTCTGGGAGAAGTCATTAAGCTAGGGCCTCACATACTTTTTCCTCCCTGCACTGTGAATGTTTACATGTTATGCGCAATTAAACCATGGCAACATCTAATGTTTGTGTAGTATTATGTTCAGCAGACTGTGTTCTTCTATTGTGACTTAGATGATGTTCAGAGCACATTTTATGCCCAATTCATGCAAAACTCCACTTAATCCCAAGGGGTTCACATACTTTTTCTTGCAACTGTATGTCTTGTATCCAGATGAGAGCAGTGACCTGAGTATTCTGTTTTCCAGGGTATTATCACCGCATACAAGAACGGCATCAGTTTATTGGGAAACGATAGTGGTCAGGAGACCTGGGACTTCAGTGGCTCTTTCTTTTTCTCAGTAACGGCCATAACCACCATCGGTAAGTCCCTGAGACCAGCATTATTTTTCCATCAGAACTTATAGGAGTGCACTCAGGAAAAAAAATTCATACCTGTTTGTGTATTGAAACTGCATGTAAATTTGTTCCTTGTGAGGTGGGCAAAATAGAATGTTCTGAGGATATATTCTCTGCAAATTGAATATCTGAATAGGGAAAATACCGCATTGTGGCCATTATATGAAGCCAAGAAGAATGTTTATTTTGTATGATAGTCATCCCCATCCAGTGGCCATAATGCAGTACTTTCACCATTTCCATATTCCCCAGAAGTTACTGGGCAAAAGAGCCTTGTGACCAAAACAGCAGGCCCTTTAGGGTTGAGTGCTACACTCACAATTGGAGAGAGGGTTTAGGGGTGCAGGATATTCAAAAAAGGCACAAAATAGAAAGGCAGATATACTGAATCAGCAGTAGGTCCTATGGGAGCAACCTTTAAAGTAGATGCTGATCAACAGAAGACAGCCAGAGGAATCTATGACCCTTTGAGAGCAGTCTTTTTTTTTTTTTTCTCAGAATCTGACTGCTGTCCTCCCATGAGCAGATAAAATACCATCCATGGGCAAAGATCCCTCTCTTAAGGTCCAGATGGCAGCTCCTCTACGATTTTCCTCAGGAAAGAGTATCTCTGTTCAACCCAGTTCCTTTCAGCTATGCACTTCAGCGTGTGGTTTCATATCCAGGGCCCTCAGCACCTGGCTCATGTGGAGGCCAGGCCTTGAGAGAAATTCTTCACATAGGCCTCCTCTCAGGGAGAAGCCCCAAGGGAGATACAATTCTGAAGATTAGCTCTGTAATCTATAACATCTCTCTGGCACTAGTCAGATAAATGTTCCCAACTCACCATCCTTGTTTTAATTCATCAAACGTTGTTCAGTAGGGTTGATGTGCAGGACACTCAAGTTCCTCCACACCAAACTGGTCTTTATGGAGCTGGCATTGTACACAGGGGTACAGTCACGGTGGATCAGAAAAGGGTCTTCACCAAACTGTTACCGCAAGGTTGGAAGAGCACAATTGTCTACAATGTCTTTTTGCTGTAGTTTTGAAAGTACCCCTCACTAGAAACCATGGCCATTAAGATGGAGCTGGTCCCTAACCCTTCCCTTCTTTGTAGCTATGGCATCCATCCCTCTTCTGGGAAGACTTCCCTCAAGACTTGGAAGGTGGCTGGACTTTGTGGCCCTTTGTGAGGTCAGGTACCAATGTTGGATGGGAAGACCTGGCTCACCATCTGTGTTCCAATTCTTCCCAAAGGTGTTCAGTAGGGTTAAGGCAGGACTCTAAGCAGGACACTTGAGTTCATCCACAGTAGAATGTTCAAACCATGTCTTTATGGAGCTGGCTTTGTACACAGGGGCACACTCATGGTGGAACAGAAATAGATCTTCACCAAACTGTTACCACAAGGCTGGAAGAGCACAATTGTTTACAGTGTCTTTGTATGATGGAATATTAACAGGACCCTTCACTGGAGAAACTTGGACTTGGTCATTTGTAGGAGTGTCCACATCCTTTGGGCCATATAGTGTATCTGTTTGGAGTAGAATTACCCTATTACCATTATTGATAGGGTTCCATAATCATGAACCTCCAAGGACAGGACTGATGTTGGGTGAGAAGACCTGGCTCCCCATCAGTGTTCCAAGTCACCCCAAAGGTGTTCAGTAGGGTTGAGGTCAAGGCTCTGTGTAGGACGCTCAAGTTCCTCCACACCAAACTGGTCAAACTGTGTCTTTATGGAGCTGGTTTTGTACACAGGGGCACAGTCATGATGGAACAGAAAAGGGTCTTCACCAAACTGGTACCACAAGAATGGAAAAGCACAATGGTCTACAATGTCTTTGTAAGACTTCACTGGAGACACTGGAACGCCATCATTTTGAGGTGGGGTCCCTTTACATTTTGCCATATTGTGTAAGTTCCTACGTTTTGGGTCTCTAAACATATAAGTCTTTATATTTCTAGGGACTTGTAAGCTTTTTTTCTATTCTTCTGGAATCCATAGAAGGTGCCTTGGATTGACTCATGATAGACTGAAGGAAAAGCAGCAACTCAGAGCTTTGACAAAAATGAGCTGGAGTCAAATGTTCTGGACATTGCTGATCTCTCCATCTCAAATTATTAATTGTCTGGCTGTCATGATGATCTGTTGGCTTCAATACTTTCAGAAAAAACTGACTCAGAAACAGTATGCAGGTTAGATGCTCTGACCTGCCCGACTTTTCTAATTATTCATGCCTGTTCTGAGTCAGCGTACCTTAAAATACTGTAGCCAATGATAGCCATGTAACTGGCCATGGCCAACTCCATATTCATCCCAGTAAAGGTTTGCTTTAACAGAACTGTACTAAAGAAGCAGGGAGGTTGGCATTGCTTCTCATTTTCTGAAAATGCTAGATCCCTGGCTGTCATGCCAATCCATTGACTTCAGTATTTTGTGACCCAGAACAAGGAGGCAGCAATAGGAACTTCGTGATTACTTTTCTGATCTGTATCAGTGTAATTACAATAATGTGCAGCAGGTGGCAGCATTTAACTACTGGAAACCACAAAAGTTGCTGAAAAGCTGAGACAGAGGGATGGAGCATTGTAGTTCACCAGTCGCCAACCGATGGTCCGTGAGAAAATTTTGGGGGTCCACAGAAAAATCTGGACATTATTAGCGTATTATTTTTGTTTTTTATTATTAATAAAACAAAAAAATGCAAAAAAAAAAAACGTATATTGTGACTGACGGTTTTTCGCCTTTACATTGCACTAAATTCACGAACTGTGCCCCCTTACATCAGGATCCCTAACAGAGTCCCCCTCTTACAATAGAGCCCCCCTTACAATAGGATCCCCAACTGAGGGGGAAACAAGAGAGGCGCAGCGTGACGTCAGGGTAGTCCTAAGTTGTATGAGGCAACTGCTGCTGAGCCGTACGCTTCAGTATTGTTGGTGCCGGTCTCGGCTTGTAATAAAATCGGCTCTCCGTCTTGCAGTGACGTCATCGGAGCCCAAAAATCCAAACTTATTTTAAACAAGCGGAAACAAATATCACACACAATGTGTAATACTTAAATAAGATTCAATTATTTTGTTACAATTAAACTAACTTTAATAATTTTGTTAGGATTAAATAATCGTTTATCATTTTGTTATATTAACCCCTCGCCTGCCGGACACTTTCCCCCCTCCCTGCCCAGGCCAATTTTCAGCTTTCAGCGCTGTTGCATTTTGAATGACAATTGCGCGGTCATGCAACACTGCACCCATATGAAGTTTGTATCATTTTTTTTAGATAGAGCTTTCTTTTGGTGGTATTTAATCACCTCGGGGTTTTTTTATTTTTTGCTAAACAGACCAAAAACAACTAAAAATTTTGAAAAAAAAAGTTTTTTTTTTCTTAGTTTCTGTTATAAAATTTTGTAAATAAGTAATTTTTCTTCTTCACTAATGTGCGCTAATGAGGCTGCAGTGATGGGCACTGATGAGGAGGCACTGGTAGGTGGCACTGATGGGTATTGACAGGCATCACTGATGGGCACTGAAAGGCAGAGAACTCATATTTGGCACTGATAGGTGGCACTGCCTGTCACTGAGTGGCAGCACTGATAGGTGACAGTGATAGGTGGCACTGACTGGCACTGATATGTGGCACTGACGGGAACTGATAGCCGGTGCTGACTGGCACTGATAGTTGGCACTGAAAGGCAGCACAGATGGGCACTGTTATGTGGCATTGATGGACACTGACAGGTGGCACTGCTGGGGCTACACTGATCATTAGGGCACATTGTCCCCTCCGAGGAATGCTGATTACCGGCTCTCTCCTCCTCTCCTCTGTCAGCGTGACAGCTCGAGAGGAGAGAAATGCCAATAACTGGCAGTTCCGTATTTACATGCGATTAGCTGTGGTTGGACACAGCTGATCACATGACCGAGCCGACATCATCGGCTCTTTCTGCTGATTGGTGATCTGCTGTGTCCCAGGGGGGCCCCCCTCGGGGGCGCACACGTGTGGTTACAGTGGGAGGACGTCATATGACATCCTCCCAGAACGACGAGAGAACGGTTAAGTCGGTGCATTTCATACTAATAAGATGGAAGTTCTCTGATTATCATTTTACAAATGTATTTATCTTTTTAACAAACTCATATTTGTGGTCCGCGGGATTTAAGATGATGAATTTGGTGGTCTGTGAGGTCTGAGAGGTTGGCGACCATCGCTATAGTTCATATGTTCTATAATGCTGCTATTCAGGCTCCAAAATTTTCCAGTACAAAGGCCACATGGGAATATTTTACAAGTATTCAAAGGCTGAAAAAAAAAATCAGTTTTGCATATGAATGAGCCCCCCCTTACATTAGGATCCCCGTTAGATTTCCCCTTTTGCATCAGGATCTTCATCAGAGGCCCTTCCCCCCGTCCTTACCTCCACACCCACTTCAGAGTGCCCCCTTACATCAGGATCCACAACATAGTCCCCCCCTTACATTAGAGTACTTCTTACATCAGGATCCCCAACAGAGCCCCCCTTTACAATAGAGTCTCCCTTACATTAGGATCCCTAACAGCAACCCCCCTCCCTTACATTAGGACTCCCAACAGAGCCCCCCCTTACAATAGAGTTCCCCTTACATTATAATCCTCAACACCCCCCCTCCCCCGTTACAACAGAGTCCCCCCTTACATAAGGATCTCCAACAGAGTCCCCCCTTACATAAGGATCTCCAACAGAGTCCCCCCTTACATAAGGATCTCCAACAGAGTCCCCCCTTACATAAGGATCTCCAACAGAGTCCCCCCTTACATAAGGATCTCCAACAGAGTCCCCCCTTACATAAGGATCTCCAACAGAGTCCCTCCTTACATAAGGTTCCCCATCAGATTTTTCCATTTGCATCAGGGTCTTCATCAGAGGCTCTTCCTCACCTAAGCTTACATCCTTGTCCACATCAGAGTGCCCCCTTAACAGAGCTTCCCTTACAATTAGAGTTCCCCTTACCACTTTCAGGCTGACAGTGGGATTACCAGCAGGGTGAGAGTTGGGCGATGGGGCAGGTTTGGACACCAACTATACAAACTTTTACTACCTGAGAGCTCCTGAGGCACCACCATTATCCAGAGGGGGGATTATCCTCGGCTTGGCTATATCCGATTCCTAAAGGGGACCTCCGCTGTCTGATTTAATGCGTATCTACATTACGCATCTGGTGAGTGCGTATTCTTACCCCACTGATCTAGAGCACCATCACTGAAGTATTATTGCTGCTATTGCACTGATATCTGCACAGATTGTCACTTGTGGATTGTTACAGTTTTTCAGCTGGAATTCAACTTACGCTATTTTATATGGACTTTTTATTATTTTAATTATATATTATTATTTAGCGCTGCACTTACTTATCTGATTATACAAACTAGGGTTGCACCGATACCATTTTTGTACCTTTGCGGTGCGATCTAAGCGCACACAAAATGAATGGCTCAAATCACAGGCAAATCGCAGCGCACCCGCAGGAAAGCCACACCGCATTCCTGGTCAAATCACATGCAATTGTTTCCAGTGTGAGTTGAGCCATTCATCTTGTATCACACTGCAAAGGTATCGGTTCCAGGTGTTGGAGCATTTACATGAGTACCCGTCCAATGCTTAGTATCAGTGCTACCCTGATACAAAAAAATGGCAACCACCTCAACCTGTGCCAGGACAAGGTCATCCAGTGCCCAAACTCCACCCCCCCGGTTCATGATGTGCAAGTTTAGGGGACCCTACACCCAGCAGTCACTCGATTGTCAAAATTGCTGCCATTGTCACTACTCCTCCCAACCTTGTAACAGAAGGAAGGAACCCCCATCTCTACAGCAAGCCATTGCGCCCAGGTCAGCCGCCTCTTCTGCTCACCCTTTGTCCTGAACCAGGGGCGGACTGACCATTTGGAAACTCGGGCACTGCCCGAGGGCCCGGGGTCAGTAGGGGGCCCCATGAGATGACCCTGGTACCTTTTTCATAGGCTTTTTTTGAGTTTGGGAAAGGACACAGGGGCCCCATGATCCCCTATTGCCCGGGGGCCCCATGAGTTGTCAGTCCGCCTCTGTCCCGGACTGGCCCCAACCTATTACTGGCCTTTGCAGCAAGGAGCACATGGAAGAGTAACACATGTCAAAAACAAACAAAAACTCCTAGCGCACTTACCAGCCAGCCTGCAAACTGACCCTGTGGGTGTATAGTTGGTGAATCGGTGTGGGGATGAACTGGATACCTTCAGCTGCCATTGTGCCTGTGCTGGGGTGTCCCCTGTGTCCCTGTACCTTTAAGGAAGGGTGGGCTCCTTCCAGGCATACCTGCCCTTATTCTATCCATTACTGTATGTGCTCCAACTTGGTAAACTCTCACAATTATAGAGTTAGGACCGCAGTACACTGGGGTGCCTTGATGAGGCCACTGCGGCTTACACATATATTTGCACTGGACTGGCTGGTAAGTGATCTGGGAAGTTTTGCATTGACATAAAGGCAAAAAGTATCAAAACAACATCTACAGCCAATCTAATTTTTACCTAATACAGCACTACCCCCTTAGGAGTCGCTAGAAGATATGGGTCCCCCTATAGTCCTGCACAGTCAGGCATCACACATCTTCACAAAAGCTAGCATCCAAAGTCAGAAATCAGTCCTTTGGTTTTTTATTTAGGGGATTTGAACTGGGATGGGGTTAGTGGTGTACAGGAGGCCCAAGGGTGCTAATAAACTGAGGACAACTTCCTGGAACTATATACAAGCCTCCTCTGCAGCACAGTCCCTGTTGGAGAGCTAGCCAGGGTCTCCTTAATGTACCACCCCAGGCCCTAGATGGCCTTCTCCTCACCCAGCAATCTGGAGATATCCCTGAACAGGGGATCTGGTTCCTGTCACTTTAAAAGGTGAACAGTCACTGGCAGATGGCTAATCTGGTTTTCCACCAGAGTGTTCATTCACCTATCTGCCCAGGGGGTGCAGGTGTACTCGCTCACATCCTCTCCTGTACAGCTTGTGGGTTGGCTACTGCTACCAGGCCTATCAGCTGGGCCGCTCCTTCCTTGCCATACAGGTGGTCCTCTCTCAGGGGAGCAGTGAGCTCTGAACTTTCCTCCTTTCCAGCTTCAGACCTGCAGGTAGACCCCATCCCACACAGCCTCCTTGCAGCCTCCTTCCTGCAGCCTCACATCCTCCTCTGTCTTCCACCTGAGCTCTCCTGCCACTCACCTTCAGCTCCAACACATCTAAGGGTTTCCAGCCCCTTGCCAACCTCCTGTTGGTAATTGGCTAGGACCACTCAAGAGTGCAGCTAGTCACTCCTCAGATCCACCCACTGCTTCTACATTCTTCCTCCAAAAGCCCTAGAGCAGGGGAAATTTCCAGAGGGGCTGGTCTGTATAGCCTCTCAGCTCTTGACCACGATTTGACCTTCTGGCTATTACACCCAGGCTGCTACTCAGCCTTCCTTACTGACAATGAAGACTCTAGCTCCCCCTAGCTAAACTAGGAGGGTGTATACACTAAACCTGTCACTTTGGAGGTTATTTACTAAAGCTGGAGTGTGCAAAATCTGGTGCAGTTCTGTATAGAAACCAGCTTCCAGATTTTATTGTCAAAGCTTAATTCAACCAGCTGAAGTTAGGAGCTGATTGGTTCCCATGCACATCTTCACTAGATTCTGAGTGCTCCAGTTTTAGTAAATCCCTCCCTTTCTGTCCAATAATGGGTCACATAGAGCAGGAAAGTCTTTTTTACTCCATAACTAAATAAAACAGTTGTGTCTCAGGTCTGAGTGCTAATAAAACCTCAAAGACTCAATGCATAGACTTCTCTTTCATTAAAAGGATGTGGTGTAATCAGATCTGCGGCCAACACTGGGGCCCCCATCTGAAGGTGAAAGGTTAGAGGGACTTCTAAAAGACATCTCTGTTCTCATTGTAAAGCTTTATTTAGTGAAAGGTCTAACACTTTGTGTTTTCTTTTTCCTCCACTTGGAAGGTTACGGGAATCTGAGCCCCAGCACAGTTGGAGGTCGCATCTTCTGCGTCTTCTTTGCGTTATTTGGAATTCCACTAAATGTGATCCTGCTGAACCGTATTGGCCAGAAGATGCTCTACCTGGTCCAGCGATATGCCAACTTCCTGGGGACAAAGATCCAACGCAAGGTGAGAGAGCGAGGAAGCCATAGCCATACTAGATGACTGGGTCCAACGCTAACCCTCTTGAGGGCTGCTGGATCTATTTGGGTCCTCCTAAGCTCTGCACAGCCAGGCAACACACATTTTCCACACTTTCATCCAAGAGTCACTAAACAGTCCTTGAGCTTGTTTTTGTTGTTTGTTTTTTATTAAAGGTTAACAACTTGGATAGGGTCTAGGGCAGCAATGGGCAAACTACGGCCTGCGGGCCGTATACGGCCCGGCGGACCTTTTAATCCGGCCCGCGGAGCTAGGCTCCCGCTAGGCTCCTCTCACAGTCCGCCCTGAAGACTGGTGTAGCATGAAAATCTGTCTCCTATGAGGATCTGTCCCCCCTCGACGTATCTGCGCATGTGCCGGAGATCGCCGATCGGCTGCTAATGCCTGAAACTGGCACATGCGCAGATACGTCGAGGGGGACAGATCTTCATAGGAGACAGATTTTCATGCTACACCGGAACGGCGCGGGAACACGGCGAGAGGAACGCGCAAAAGCAAAGGTAAGTGAATTGACACAGGGGGGACTTGGGGACTTAATATGGGGAATTAATTACTATAGGGGGGATGAATTACTATATGGGGGGATGAATTACTATGGGGGATGAATTACTATATGGGGGATGAATTACTATATGGGGGACCCCCCACAATGAATTACTATATGGGGGATGAACTTACTATATGGGGGATGAATTACTATGGGGGATGAATTACTATATGGGGGATGAATTACTATGGGGGATGAATTACTATGGGGGATGAATTACTATATGGGGGATGAATTACTATGGGGGATGAATTACTATGGGGGATGAATTACTATATGGGGGATGAATTACTATATGGGGGATGAATTACTATATGGGGGATGAATTACTATGGGGGATGAATTACTATGGGGGGATGAATTATATGGGGATGATACTATATGGGGATGAATTACTATGGGGGATAAAAATTACTATATGGGGGATGAATTACTATGGGGGATGAATTACTATGGGGGATGAATTACTATATGGGGGATGAATTACTATGGGGGATGAATTACTATATGGTGGATGAATTACTATATGGGGGATTAATTACTATGCTTACTATGGGGGAATATTACTATACTTACTATGGATGACACATACACATCATTCATCTACTCTTGGTCCGGCCCCCGGGTCCAATATATGAACCCATTGCGGCCCTCAAATCAAAAAGTTTGCCCACCCCTGGTCTAGGGGTATATGGGATGACCAAGGAACTGTAGAACTTCAGAGGACAACTTCTTAGCAACCATGTTAAAAAATGTGGACAAAATCTACAACAGTCTTTTTAAGGAGCACTGAGTCACCTTTGTTGCACCTCCTCAGACCCCAGATGAAACACTCCTCATTCACACGGCTGTCCTGAGGGTATCCCTGGGCAAAGGGTTTCCAGAATCTACTGTGAAGCTGTCTCAGATGAAAGCTAGTTGGATATTGCATCTGACAACCCTCTCCTTTTGTGGCCCTTCACAATCCTGTCCTGTAGCTTGGTTTCAGCTGCTTTCAGGCCTTATGCTGGGCTGGCTCCTGCCCTGCAGACAGGATGTCCTCTCTAGGAGATTTGTGGTAGAGTGGAGATCCTTCTGTCAACTTCAGCCTGTAGGTAGGTACCCCTCCTTGGGGCTCCCTTCCAGACTCCATGCTCCAGCACCTTCCTACTCCATCTTCCAACAACTCTCCTGCTGTTCAGGCTCTCCCATATTTAAGGGTTGCTGTTAGACAGGCCTCCTGCCTGGGGATTGTCCAGGTTCCCTTAAACATGCAAATCTTGACCTCGTCCTTTCCTTTACCGCCTTCTAGAAAGTATGTCCAGTTTCTAGAAGGGTGGGAGGGCTCCAGAAGCCCTTACCTGTAAAGCCTCCCAGCGTAACCTGAGGTAACCTCACTGCCTCACCCCCAGGTTGACTCATGTCAGGCTTTTAACAAGCCTCTGGCTCACAGCAAAAATCTAAAACTAGAGGGCGCTACACAGGTATCAGGAGAATCTATCAATTTGGACCAGTGTAGGCTTTTCCCAAAAATTGTAATTCTCAGATTGTCCTGGATACGGGGATATGAATTGTCCAAATGTTTGACGCTATTCCAGGGGCGGACTGACAAATCATGGGGCCCCCGGGCAATAGGGGATCATGGGGCCCCTGTGTCCTTGCCCAAACTAAAAAAAGCCTATGAAAAAGGTACCAGGGGCATCTCATGGGGCCCCCTACTGACCCTTGGCCCTCGAGCAGTGCCCGAGTTTCCAAATGGTCAGTCCGCCCCTGCGATATTCATGAACCCTAGCAATCACGGTCCACCCCACATGGAAGAAAAAGATGTTTGAAATATATTTTAAAAATATTCTTCCAAAATATATTGACATGTATTTGAAATGCTACAATTTTGGCTGTATTCAATATATTTCAAAATATATTTCAATAAATAAATATATATATACTGTAGGTCTATGTGCAGGATATACCCACATGGAAGAAAAATATTTTTTTTAAATATTCTTCCCAAATATATTGACATATATTTGAAATACTACAATTTTGTCCGTATCAATCAATAAATATATATATATTCACACACACACACACAGTATGTTGAAATGCATTTTTATTACAAAATATATGAAAAAATATTTTTAATAATATATTTCAAATATACTGTATGTCTTTAAAAATACAAATCTACATTTTTGGAATGCATTTACAAATATATGTAAAAATATATGTTAAAATGACTTTTTTATATGTTAAAAAAAATATATTCATTTCCTATACAATTTTTAAGCGAAATGTAAAGCACAGCATATACATGTGTATGTTGCCGCACACTGTACATGTGCATTGGGGGTGCAGTTAACTTTGCACCACAACACACACCTACAATGCATTGTAATGAATCATATGGTGTAAAACAGACCTGAAGTGTCTCACCTCTCACTAAGTCATTCACTTTCACACCCAGGGGCGGACTGACAACTCATGGGGCCCCCGGGCAATAGGGGTTCATGGGGCCCCTGTGTCCTTGCCCAAACTCAAAAAAGCCTATGAAAAAGGTACCAGGGGCATCTCATGGGGCCCCCTACTGACCCCGGGCCCTCAGGCAGTGCCCGAGTTTCCAAATGGTCAGTCCGCCCCTGTTCACACCAACATCTCTGGTTGTATCTTACAGAAAATGGTGAAGGTCTTCTCCAGCTCCTGCGCACTGATTGCAGGCCTTCTCCTCTTCTTCCTGCTCCCTCCTATTCTCTTCCAGTGGATGGAAGGCTGGACATACGAGGAGGGATTCTACTACTCCTTCATCACACTCAGCACCATTGGCTTTGGAGACTACGTCATCGGTAAGTATGAGGAGCAAGGTGGGTCAGGGCTGTCTTAATGCATGGGCACCCCTGGACAGTGCCAAGAAGCCCCAGGTGCATGGGGGCCCCATGATAATCTTGCTTTACAGCATACTTGTCAACTGTCCCGGATTTGCTGGGACAGTCACGCTTTTTACCAAGCTGTCACGGGATGGCCAGGGCAGTATCCAAGAACCTGTACTCTGTCCTCCTGATCCCAGTATTGTGCCCTCCTGACTCCCCCTCTACTGTGCCCTCCTGATCCCAGTATTGTGCCCCCTTGACCCCCCCTGTACTGTGCCCTTCTGATCCCAGTATTGTGCCCTCCTGATCTCAATATTGTGCCCTCCTGACTCCCCTTGTACTCTGTCCTCCTGATCCCAGTATTGTGCCCCTCCTGATCCCCCTGTACTGTGCACTCCTGATCCCAGTATTGTGCCCCCTTGACCCCCCTGTACTGTGCCCTCCTGATCTCAGTATTGTGCCCTCCTGACTCCCCCTGTACTGTGCCCTCTTGATCTCAGTATTGTGCCCTCTTGACCCCCTCTACTGTGATCTCAGTATTGTGCCCCCTGATCTCAGTATCGTGCCCTCCTGACTCCCCCTGTACTGTGCCCTCCTGATCTCAGTATTGTGCCCTCCTGATCTCAGTATTGTGCCCTCCTGACTCCCCCTGTACTGTTCCCTCCTGACCCCCATGTACTGTGCCGTTCTGACTCCCCCGATACTGTGCCCTCCGGATCCCAGTATTGTGCCCTCCTGACTCCCCCTGTACTGTGCCCTCCTGATCCCAGTATTGTGCCCTCCTGACTCCCCCTGTACTGTGCCCTCCTGATCCCCTGTACTGTGCCCTCCTGATCCCAGTATTGTGCCCTCCTTACTCCCCCTGCACTGTGCCCTCCTGATCCCAGTATTGTGCCCTCCTTACTCCCCCTGCACTGTGCCCTCCTGATCCCAGTATTGTGCTCTCCTGACTCCCCCTGTACTGTGCCCTCCTGATCCCAGTATTGTGCCCTCCTGATCCTAGTACTGTGCCCTCCTGAACCCCCCTGTATTGTGCCCTCCTGATCCCTGTATTGTGCCCTCCTGACCCCCCATGTACTCCTGACCCCTGGGCCCTCCTGACTCCCCCCCTGTACTGTGCCCTCCTGACTCCCCCTGTACTGTGCCCTCCTGGCCCCCCCTGTACTGTGCCCTCCTGACCCCCCAGTACTGTGCCCTCCTGACCCCCCCCCTGTACTGTGCCCTCCTGACTCCCCCTGTTGTTGAGGAATGTCAGGTCCCCGTAGCTGCTGTCTGTCAGTCTCTGGGGGCGTGGCTTCTCTTTCTGTCCTCTCACGTCCCCTAAATTTTTGTAAGATCAGATTTTTGAAAAAAGGCGACATGCACGGGATCAATGTTTCATCGTTTCTGAGCCTGAGGGGGGGGGGGGGTTCAGGTGACGGTCGGGTTTGTTAAGATGCCTTATAAAGATAATAATAATATTAAAATATGATTGGTTCTATTTTGTTTTTTTCCGTCAAAAAAGCTGTTTGTCTTCTTTGCTGAAGTAAGCTGTTTTTGTTTCATTATATATTTATATTTTATTCTGTATATATGTAAATATGTTTTTTATTATGTTGTTTGTTTGTAAGATTTTTAATAAACAAACATTTACACAGAGACAAGGTGGTGTTGAGGCCTAGAGCCGCCTTTCTTCTTCAGGTGGTTTTGGTCTCTCACCTCAACCAGGATAATGTGCTCCCATCCAGTTGCCCAGATCCAGTTTATCAGAACGAGATGTCCTTCTATTACTTGGGTTTCGTTCATCCTGTTCCAGTTCAGCTCACAGCCACTTCCATTAGATTGTCTCTCGATTTGTTATTCCTGATGGTTCCCGTAAGAAGGGCCATTTCTCTTCCCACCATTTGTCAGTGGCTCAGACAGATCATCATTCATACTTATGGACCTTAAGGGTCAGGATCCTCTCTTTCCTGTCAAGATGTTCTCCAGTAGACCGCTGGATGCTTCTTGGGCATTTTGACACCAGACTACTATTATCTTGCAGATTTTCAAGGCTGTCACCTGGTCCTCCGTTCATACGTTCTCCAAGTTCTGGTGCCAGTTTTTGGGTGTAAGGTCTTTCAGGTGGCTACCGGCAGTCCCTAGTTGGGTTTTTTTTGTGGGCTTGTTAGTGCTTTGTTGCTGGCACATACTATTCAGTGGAACTGCTTTTGGACGTCCACTTCTTATAATTCATTGAGGAACACAGGTTCTACCCTCGGTGTCTATGATTATGCTTTTGGGCAGGGATCTACAAACTTTACAAACAAGGGGCCAGTTTACTGTCCTTCAGGGTTTTTTGGGGGGGGGGGGGGGGGGGGGAGGTGCAGATTGTGGCCATTGGGAGTAGAAAATGTCCCAATGCCTCAGGTGTGGTGTTCAGTTGCACAGTGCCTGTGGCCAGTAGGAGGAGGAATAGTGCCCCATCATTGGTGTCAGTTGGAGGGATAGTGCCCCATCATTGGTGTCAGTGGGAGGAATAGTGCCCCATCATTGTTGTCAGAGGGAGGGATAGTGCCCCATCATTGGTGTCAGTTTGAGGATTGGTGCCCCATCATTTGTGTCAGTGGGAGGAATAGTGCCCCATCATTGGTGTCAGTGGGAGGAATAGAGCCCCATCATTTGTTGTCAGTGGGAGCAATAGTGCCCCATCATTGGTGCAGTGGGAGGAATGTGCCCCATCATTGGTGTGGGAGGAATAGTGCCCATCATTGGTGTCAGTAACTGGTGCCCCATCGTGGGTCAGTGGGAGCAATAGTGCCCCATCATTGGTGTCAGTGGGATGGAATAGTGCCCCATCATTGGTGTCAGTGGAGGAATAGTGCCCCTTCATTGGTGTCAGTGGGAGGAATAGTGCCCCATCATTGGTGTCAGTGGGAGGAATAGTGCCCCATCATTGGTATCAGTGGGAGGAATAGAGCCACATCATTGTTGTCAGTGGGAGCAATAGTGCCCCATCATTGGTGACAGTGGGAGGAATAGTTCCCCATCATCAGTGGGAGGAATAGAGCCACATCATTGTTGTCAGTGGGAGCAATAGTGCCCCATCATTGGTGACAGTGGGAGGAATAGTTCCCCATCATTGGTGTCAGTGGAGAGGAATAGAGCTTCATCATTGGTGTCAGTGGATGGAATAGTGCCCCATCATTGGTGCCAGTGGGAGGAATAGTTCCCCATCATTGGTGTCAGTGGGGAGGAATAGTGCCACATCATTGGTGTCAGTGGGAGGAATAGTGCCCCATCATTGTTGTCAGTGGGAGGGAATAGTTCCCCATCATTGGTGTCAGTGGGAGGAATAGAGCCACATCATTGTTGTCAGTGGGAGGCAATAGTGCCCCATCATTGTGTCAGTGGGAGGAATAGTGCCCCATCATTGGTGACAGTGGGAGGAATAGTGCCCCATTGGGGGTCAGTGGGGGATAGTGCCCCATCATTGCAGTGAGAGGAATCATTGCTCATGTGATGTCAGTGGAGGAATAGTGCCCCATCATTGGTGCCAGTGGGGATCGTGTCATTGGTGTCAGTGGGAGGAATAGTGCCTCTTCATTGGTGTCAATGGGAGGAATGTCATTGTTGTCAGTGGGAGGAATAGTGCCCCATCATTGGTATCAGTGAGAGGAATGTTCTTCATCAATGTGTCAGTGGGAGGAATAGTGCCCCATCATTGGTGTCAGTGGGAGGAATTTGTGCACCATCACTGGTGTCAGTGGGAGGAATAGTGCCCCGTCATTGGTGTCACTTGGGCGAATTATGCCACACTGTTGGGTCACTATTAGGAATAGTGCTCTTAAATCAGTGGGAGAAATAGTGCCCCAAGGGTCAGATAAAGGCTAGTAAAGGGCTGCATCCAGCCCTTGGAACCCAGTTTGGAGTCCGCTGCTCTTGGGTAATGCTTTCCCACTAAACTGAGGTCTGCTTGCAGTAGGAGGAGCTATATTGGGTTTTTTTTTTCATTTTCTAGTGTCCATATCCTCCTGTAGCTGGCACAACAAGCCAACAGTCATTGAATTCTTCTGTCCCTCAATGAGCTACATAAAAATGGATTTTGTGGTAGATACAAAAGTCTCGCTATTAGTAAATACAGCATTTACAGTGAAACGGCCCAATATGAACCTCTAAAAGGAAGAACCATGATAATGCCTCTGCTGACTAATATGTTCATCAGGAAAGAATTTACTATGTTTTTTTCTTTTTTTAAGGAAGAGTCCCCGGCAAGCAATACCCCAACTGGTACAAGAACATGGTGTCGCTGTGGATCCTGTTTGGCTTGGCATGGTTGGCTCTAATCATCAACCTGTGTATCAATCTCCTGGAGAACTGTAGAAAAGTCGGCCAGTGCTGCAAAACAAAGCAAACCTATCCAATGGATCAGGAACTGATGGAGATCACCCAAAATGGGCACGTTGCTTCAAGACTGAAAGAGGCCGAGGACTCACAATCGTCCACCGCCAGTGACACCAAACCTGAGTCACCTGACTGACGGGGGGAGGGGTTAATGACCTTGGTGCCAAATATGAACAAAACTGTATCTGTACTCAGAACAATCCCAATGGCTGGAGTCCAGACTGAAAGATATCAAACCGTAGATGGCTCTAGGTCTATCTCTAATGTCCACCGATGGGTTCCTGACTATATTCCAAGAACAAAATGGTGTCATGAATTATATACCATTGAGTAACTTTATTTCGTAAAAAAAAATAAAAAAATTGTTAAATAGTTGAAAAAATATTAAAAAGTGTCCGTCGTATAAAAAATCCTATTCCTTTGTCTACTTAAAGTGGGAAGTAAAGTCTTTTTTTTTAACTTATACCTACAAGGAAGTCAATAATCAGGCTTTACCTGTAGGTTCAATGAATATCTCCTAAACTTGCCACTTCAGGAGATATTCATGGTGCATGCAGCCGGTGACGTCCCCGCACATGTTCTCTAAAGAGACGTCATACTTGTGCCATCCCTTCAGAGCTCTTTGCCACGGGAGTGACATCATCACGGCTTGGCCAGTCAGACGAGCACATGAACATGAAAGGAAGACCAAAAGATGGAAGACCGGTGAAGATGGAAGACCAGGTGAAGAAAACCAGGTGAAGAAAGAAGACTAGGTGCAGAAGGAAGACCAGGTGAAGAAGGAACACCAGGTGCAGAAGGAAGACCAGGTGAAGATGGAAGACCAGGTGAGGATGGAAGACCAGGTGAAGAAGGAAGACCAGGTGAAGAAGGAAGACCAGGTGTGAGAATGGAAGACCAGCTGAGGATGGACCAGGTGATGGAAGAAGGTGGAAGACCAGGTGCAGAAGGAAGACCAGGGTGAAGAAGGAAGACCAGGTGAAGAAGGAAGACCAGGTGAAGAAGGAAGACCAGGTGAAGAAGGAAGACCAGGTGAGGATGGAAGTCCTTTCAGCGGCGACAGCGTGCCGTGGGAGGGCTTAGTTCTCAGGTAAGTACTACATAACGTGCCAGTATGCGATGCCTACCAGCACATTATGCCATTGACTTTCAGGCCTTGTTTTTGTTTCAAAAGGCCGCGGTTTACTGTTTCTTTAAAGAATATGTAAATCCAACATTTCCTATTCCTGATATGTGCCGGCTGTACCATGGACTTGTATGAAGACGTCTCCTGTTCTCTTTGTATTCCTTCCTTTGTGTGAAATCCCTGGTGTTCCCGCCAGCCCCTCTGCTTTCCTATCGCAAACTGACCACACTAGGCATGGAGAGCACAGCGTGGTCAGTTATCCAGCTGTGCTGGGAGCTCAAACTGCTCTCCTCCAATGATCAGACTTCTACTGACATGCCCCCCCCCCCCCTTGCACAGGCATTCACTGAGAAGAGACCAGTGTACTGCTGTTTCTCCCTGGGACACTGCGGATCACGATCACAGTAAAGAGCCGATGACGTCGGCTCTATCATGTGATCAGTGTCCAATCACAGCTGACCGCATGTAAATAGGAAATGCCGGTTATCGGCAGTCCTCTCCTCACGCTGATAGCGCGTGAGGAGAGGAGAGCCGGTAAGCGGCAATCCTCAGAGGGGACATCTACACTGATCATCAGTGCCCTGATCATCAGTGTAGCCCCATCAGTGCTGCCTTTCAGTGCCCATAATTGCAGCCTGTCAGTGCCCTTCAATGCCACATACCAGTGCCCATCAGTGTCCATCAATGCCACCTGTCAGTGCCCATCAATGCCACATATCAGTGCCACAATGCCACATATCAGTGCCCATCAGTGCACGTCAATGCCACATATCAATGCCCATCAGAGGTGCCTTTCAATGGCAACTATCAGTGCCAATCAGTGACAGTGAGTGCTGCCTATCAGTGACACCTATCAGTGCCCATCATTGCCACCTATCAGTGCCATATATGATTGCTGCCTTTCAGTGCCAATCAGTGCCACCTATCAGTGTCAGTCAGTGCAGCCTATAAGTGCTCATCAGTGCCGCCTATAAGTGCTGCCTAACAGTGCCAGTCAGTGCCACCTATCAGTGCCATATATGATTGCTGCCTTTCAGTGCCCATAAGTGATGCCTGTCAATGCCCATTAGTGCACCCTATCAGTGTCCATCACTGCAGTCTCATCAGGGCACATCAGTGAAGGAGAAAAATTACTTATTTACAACATTTTATAATAGAAACTAAGAAAAACTTTTTTTTTTTCAAAATTTTCAGTCTTTTTTAGTTTGCTTAGCAAAAAATACCCCCCCCCCCAGTGGTGATTGAATACCACCAAACTAAAGCTCTATCTGTGTGCAAAAAAACTTTAAAAATGTCATATGGGTACAGTGTTGCATGAGCGACCGCGCAATTGTCAAAGTGTGATAGCGCTGAAAGCTGAAAATTGGCCTGGACAGGAAGGGGGGAAAGTGTCCGGACTGGAAGGGGGGGAAGTGTCCGGACTGGAAGGGGAGGAAAGTGTCCGGACTGGAAGGGGGGGGAAAGTGTCCGGACTGGAAGGGGGGAAAGTGTCCGGACTGGAAGGGGGTGAAAGTGTCCGGACTGGAAGGGGGGGGGGGAAAGTGTCCGGACTGGAAGGGGGTGAAAGTGTCCGGACTGGAAGGGGGGGAAGTGTCCGGACTGGAAGGGGGGGGGGTGAAAGTGTCCGGACTGGAAGGGGGGGGAAGTGTCCGGACTGGAAGGGGGGGAAAGTGTCCGGACTGGAGGGGGGGGAAAGTGTCCGGACTGGAAGGGGGGGTGAAAGTGTCCGGACTGGAAGGGGGGGAAAGTGTCCGGACTGGAAGGGGGTGAAAGTGTCTGGACTGGAAGGGGGGGGTGAAAGTGTCCGGACTGGAAGGGGGGGAAAGTGTCCGGACTGGAAGGGGGGGGGAAAGTGTCCGGACTGGAAGGGGGTGAAAGTGTCCGGACTGGAAGGGGGGGAAAGTGTCCGGACTGGAAGGGGGGGAAAGTGTCCGGACTGGAAGGGGGGGAAAGTGTCCGGTAGGCGAGGGGTTGATGGGAATTATGAATTTTAAGAGCTCGGCCTGTTTATAAAGCTGTTCCATTTTTTTTTTGTTTAAAGACATTGTAACTTTTTTTTTTCAAAACAATTTACACCATTCTGAACCTGAAATACTCCACCTGCTGGCTGCATTTGAAAGTAAAAAATATTAATGTGCAATGTATTTCATGTGTACCTGAATATAAAAAATGTTTTGTTGTATTTTTTAGGTCTTGCCTTTAATAAATAAATACATAAAATAAATGTGTACAAACCAGTAATACACCGATACACCTTTTCTTATGTTTTCTGGTAGCCGGCTTTTAGCCTTGCCTCTGGAACAGAAATCTTTAATAATCCCCTCTTGGTACATTTTTGATTATTTCTATAAGGCTCGCGCCCCCCTTTCTGTGTAGGTCTATGTGCAGGATATACCCACATGGAAGAAAAATATATATGAAAACTATTCTTCCCAAATATATTGACATATATTTGAAATACTACAATTTTGGCCATATTCAATATATTTCAATGAATATATATATACTGTATGTTGAAATGCACTTTTATTACAAAATACATGAAAAATATTTTTAAAAATAAATTTTCAAATATACTGTGTCTTTAAAAATACATTAAATCTACACTTTTGGAATGCATTTACAAATATATGTAAAAAAAATATGTTAAAATTACTTTTTTATGTTAAAAAAAATCTGAAAAATATATTTTAAAAAAATGTATTTTTAAAAATATTTCAGATATTTTGTAAAATATAAAAAACGCATTTCAACATGCAGTGTGTGTGTGTGTGTGTGTATGTATATATATATATATTTATTGAATATGGACAAAGTTGTAGTATTTAACATATATATGTAAAAAAAAAAATCTGAAGAATATATTTAAAAAAATTTATTTTTAAAAATATTTCAGATATTTTGTAAAATATAAAAAATATGCATTTCAACATGCAGTGTGTGTGTGTGTGTATATATATATATAATATATATATATATATATATATATATATATTTATTGAATATGGATAAAGTTGTAGTATTTAACATATATGTAAAAAAAAAAATCTGAAGATATATTTTAAAAAATATATATATTTTTATAAATATTTTTATATTTTTCAGATATTTTGTAATATATAAAAACGCATTTCAACATGCAGTGTGTGTGTGAGTGTGTATATATATATATATATAGTTTTTTAAATATATTGAATATGGCCAAAATTGTAGTATATCAAATATATGTCAATATATTTGGGAAGAATATTTTTAAAATATAATTTCAGATATATTTTTCTTCCATGTGGGCAGGAAGAACATTTTGTGTCCCTCGGGGCTCTAGCTAGCATTCTTTATGATTTATTACTGGTGTTTGGATTTACGTTGGAAAGCTTTAAAGGGTAAGTTCACCTTTCACAAAAAAAAAAAAATGAAAGCTGACCTAACTCCAAATACCCTGGTCACCCCTCCAGACCTCTAAACTGGCAGCGGCCATGATGTCCCATGCTACAAGTCTAGAGGTCCAAACACAGCCCCAGATTGAGTATCCATCATAGTTTTTTACAATGACAAGCGTTCATTTATTATTATTATACAGGATTTATATAGCGCCAACAGTTTGCTCAGCACTTTACAAAATGAAGGCGGACATTACAGTTACAATACAATTTGGTACAAAGGGAAACAGAGGGCCCTGATCCTGGGAGCTTACAATCTAGGAGGAGGGAGTGAGTGATACAAAAGGTAACAGCTGTGGGGGGAGGAGCTGATGGAGGAAATAAAATGGCAGTTTACTAGGTAGAAGCAGGATAGGCTTCTTTAAAGAGAAAGGTTTTCAGGGATCGTCTAACGGTGGATAGATTAGGAGACAGCGCGACAGATTGGGGTAGGGAGTGCCATAGGATGGGAGAAGCTCGGGAGAAGTCCTGGAGGCGAGCATGGGAGGAAGTGACATGGGAACTAGAGAGCAGAAGGTCTTGGGAGGATCGAAGAGAGCAGTTTGGTTGGTGTTTTGAGACCAGGTCGGT